GGGCTGCCCGGCAGTGTGGCATGGGCGAACCCTCTTCAGTTGGCAGTAAACACCCCTCCCCGCATTGCCCTGACCGGTGGGTGGGTCAGTGGGTGGGGGGTGGGGGCTGCAGGCAGGCCTTCCCCCCCCCCGCTGGTGGCTTTGGGGGGTTTGCTTTGCTTGCTCCTTCTGCTCTGGGAGGCCTCCCCAGGCCCCAGCTGGGCTGGGCTGGGCTGGGCTGGCCTGGCCAGGGAAGAGGTCTGCCTGCGCTTTTAATCTCGTGTATCGTACCCCCCACACACACACACGCACACTATTGCTGATTATGTGTGTGTGGGGGGTCCCCAGCCTTGCTGGGCGGGGGGAGTGTCATCCCCCGCCCGGGGCAGGGTTCCCCAAGCAAGCCTGACGCTTTGCTCATGGCGGGATTCTCCCTCCTCGCCTGGAGCAGCATCTGCTCCCCGCTGCCCCCTCTGGCCCTGCAGCTGCCCCCCCCGGCACGGTTCCTTTCCCCCCCCCCGCAAGGCTGGGGAGCAGCCTCCTCTTTGAGGCCGCTCTGTGTTGGAATGAGGGTCAGGTGGAGAGAGAAGCCTGCCGGGGGGGGGGCTCCACGGCCTGCTGGCACCCCCTCTCCCCAGTAATCCCAGTGGGAGTCGGTAGCTTCGGCCCTGCTCCCCCCCGTTGGCATGCCCCCTCCAGAGAAGGGAACAGGGCCAGGCCCGGCCTTAAACTTTGGGGAACCTAAAGGTCGGCAGCCGAAGGAGAGATCCCAAAACTGTCAGGGGCCTGACATCGGTGGCGCCTAAAGACGCCTCCCCCTGGGATGATAGCGTGAGGGTGCTTCCCCCCCCCACTCCCTGCAATCGCTGCCCCCCGCCGCTGCCGCCAAAGTCATGTGAGCTCTGGAAGCAAAGGCTCCTTTTGCCCTCTTCCTTGAATCCCATTCTCAACAAACACACACATACACACACACACACACACACACAGAGGACATGGACGTCCGGCAAAGGCCAGGCTCCGTCTCTGCCCTCTCTGGTCAGAAGCCGCTCCTGGGAGCCCGGGCTCCTCCCGAGGGGTCCAGGCGGTGTCCGGAGCAGCTGGTCCGGAGGGCTTGGTCCCTCGGACCCTCGCTTTCGAGGGAAAGGGGCAGGGAAGGGGGGGAGATCAGATTGATTATATTCTCTGCAGCCAAAGATGGAGAAGCTCTATACAGTCAGCAAAAGGTCTTCTCTGTCCTTGTGGCGCCTGTAATCCACAGCAGCCGGCAAGAAGGTGTGGGAGGCCCCTCTTTCCAGTGAGTGGGGCAGCCGCCCTCCGGATGTGTGGGGACTACTAGCCCCATCCCCTGGGCAGTTTACCCAGGGCTGGCTGGGGATGATGGAACTCGTGCTCTAGCTTAGGGTGCTGCTGCTGCTGCAGGACCAAAACAGAGAGGAGAAAAGGCGAGGGCAGCCTCGTTGACAGGAGTCACGTGACCGCCCCCCCCACATCCGGCTCCGGCCGCGGGCTGGGTCTGGAGGGCGGGCGCC